TGGTTAGCACATAGTTGGTACATGGTTAGCACATACATTGTAGTTGGCACATGGTTAGCACATAGTTGGCACATGGTTAGCACATAGTTGGTATAATTAATGAGATTCTCATCCTCTCAGAAATAGAACTGCAGAGAACATGTTCTATACATGATGTATCCACATGATAGATATTCTTCATATTGAAATAACTTATTGTAAGGGACAACATCAAAAGTTCAATGTAGGGTAAAAAACTTAATTCCTTTAGCCCCCCCCCCCCACTGAAACTTAACTGATAAATATTGATCATGGCGTCAGCCTACATTCACCATTAAATACAAATTGATAATCGAACAGTAGTATGGCATAGCAGTTGGTTGTAATAATGGAGGGGAATATACGCATGCGCAAACTAGCTCCGTTGTCGACTTTGTCGAGCGGAGCTTATCATATGAGTGATTGTCTGTCGTCGTCCGTGGCAATGTTTTATTTTTTCGACTTCTTTTTGAAAAATACAAGTCCAATTGCTTTGATATTACATATATAGGTACTACATGTGGATCTCTATTAGATTTGTTCATTTTGTAATGATATCTTCAATTCTCTAATTTTAATGAATATTTTTGTCATTTTTGGTAAAAAGTGATATTTTCGACTTCTTGTTAAAAACCGTAAGTCCATATGCTTTGATATTACATATATAGGTGCTAAATGTGGAACTCTCTCAGATTTGTTCATTTTGTAATGATATCTTTAATTCTTTAATTTTGGTGAATATTTTTGTCATTTTTGGTAAAAAAGTGATATTTTCGACTTCTTGTTAAAACCGCAAGTCCAGTTGCTTTGATACTACATATATAGGTACTACATGTGGACCTCTTTCACATATGTTGATTTTGTTGTGATATCTTTAATTCTCTAATTTTGATGAATATTTTTGTCATTTCTGGTAAAAAGTTATATTTTCGACTTCTTGTAGAAAAGCGAAACTCCAATTGCTTATATATTACATATATAGGTACTACATGTGGACCTCTTTCACATATGTTGATTTTGTTGTGATATCTTTAATTATCTAATTTTGATGATTATTTGTGTCATTTTTGGTAAAAAGTGATATTTTTGACTTCTTGTTAAAAACAGCAAGTCCCATTGCTTTGATATTATACATATTGATATCTTCTGTTCTTTAATTGAAATGTGCATTGCTAACAGCGGAGCTATCTCAGCCGACAGGCTGCTTGTCTGTGTTCTGTGCATGCTCTACAGTAGGTCCATGCCCTGAAATTGACCTCATTTGACGCACATATTTACACTTGGACCAAACCATTTTCTCGTCTTGGATGTGTTTTTTTCATTAGGGGCCCAAGCCCGAAGGGCGAGGCCCCTATTCTTATTGTCCGGTTTTTTCTTCTTTCTTTCTTCTTCTTTCTTCCGTAACTTTTTTCGTCAAGCCGTTTGAGAAAACTGCTGAACTGAATAGTCTGACATGCTTTCAGAATTTTGATTGGTCGATTAGTTTGGCAGCCATATTGGATTGAAATAAAACCGGAAGTGGCTGTTTGACCACTTTCTGAGGGTCTAGGCGT